CTCTTTTTGGTAAGAAAACCGTTTACTCACCATCAGTCCATTCTTCACGATTTCAGCTTGTTCTCCTTCCTTCTGGGATGGATGCGAGTACCAATGCATCAGTTGAAGAACAAACGGTTCGAAAATTTGTCTTACAACTCCGTCCACGTCACAAGCCAATTGAAGTAAAGGAACAAATATCTTTTTTAACACGAGATTTATATCATTCAGATCTTCATCGCTTGCCGCTTTACCTAAAAGTTTGATACTAAACGTCGGAAAAACTCTTTTTATCACACACAATACTCACTGACTCCGAGTAAATTCAGAACTATTGCATGAAGCAGTTCACAAGCTGTGACCCTACTTTTTCTATTACTAGAATGAAGGGCAATATTCAGTACGTGAGGCACGAATTTCTCAAGACCTATATCGATATCGGCGTCTTCAAAAGGTAGCGTCACCTTTAGATGACAGTTTTTACCCCAAACCACAGGCTCAAGTGTGTTCTTAGAACTTACAAATTTGTAACAGATATTTGTATCAAGTTTTCCCAAGAAAACCATAATTTTGTACTGAAGTTCTAACAATTCTGATTCACTTTCAATAAACACTTTACGTTTCATTACAGCTCTTTCGGTTTTTCTCGTCTTAAACTTGGTAGAGTCTACAATTAAGTTCTTTTCATTCAACGAATGACTTTCAAGATATGAATCTAATTCAGGGACTATTTCTTCTAAGAACGGTTTAAAGTCGTTAATGGGGAGAAGTATGAACCATTCTTCCAATGTATCAATTGCTAAATGAGCTAGTTTCAAATAACTCCTTCCTACATTGAAAAGTGACGTGAAAGCTGGGACTGCTTGGGGTAAAATGTTCTTAACCATAGCTTCAGGAATGCTCATCAAGAGTTCGAGACATGATATCAAAAGGTCTTCCTTTAAATGGCTTACTTTTTGCAAAATGTCTTGGATGAAACTGTAAATCGATTCGTAAGTAGATCGTACATACTCGTACTTTTCGATTCGTGCTTTGGTGAAGTATCTCAAAGATGTGCTCAATTTTAAACAGGCTGTGAGCAATTTATAGAAGCCGCTACACAAAGGATAGTGCTGGGACTTTTTGATGACGTTATCAACGAATGCAGGGATCCATTTTCTGAACATTGCAGGATCCTGTTTCTTAACCAATATAAAAATGTCTCTGTAAAGGTCAGCAATGTTCACAAAGATGATAATGTCAGCAACTTTGACAGGTTCAAAAATAGTTTCCAGATCGGTCGCTGTCGTTATCATATCTTCATTTTTCTTTACTACAGTTCCTAGGTCGAGTTTATTGATTAGAACCAACAAATTTCGTATCAGCTCATCGAAAATTTCTCGTTTGAGGACTTTCGTCTCTTCTGCGTCTAAATATCGTTGTCTGAGGTTCAGTAAGCCGTTCCACAATTGCATATAAGACTTGTAAGTGATGATGTTTATATTGTCTTTAACTACTTCTGCATCAGCTTCGATTTCATGTGAACAAGTCCATAAAATACCTTGATATAGGACAACTTGTAGATAATTGCAAAGCATTTTTTTATTATTCACATTTAGATTGCATATTAAAGAAACAATTGCGTCAACTACTACAAAACGATGGTGAGAAGGAATTTTAGGGAACATCTGAATCATAAAAATCGACGACTTGTATATTACAGACATTTGTGAGTCGGTTAAGTCTTTAAGCAGACTGACCATGGAACCGATCGAAAATATGTAGTCGGGAAGAAACTCTAAGTTGATGGGAGTCTCGGGTGTTTCTTGGATAAAAAACTGTTCTTCCATCTTCTGTGACATGAGGGCCAGAATGCCGTCGAATTTTTCTCGTAAATGGATATAAATTGCTCTTGCAAAGTAGCCCACACCTCGTATACTTAAATGTACTACATAAGTCTCGTCCTGATTAGACAGTTTTTTAAGGCAAGGGTTTACAAGAAACTAGAAACATCAAAATTATATTTAGTCAAAGCACATTAAAAATTATTGATTATTATGTATATACCTTGGCAACTTCGCCACCATTATTAGATTCACATGCAACCTTTCCCATTTCATTGTAAAATTCTAAAAGAACGTTAAAACCAGCTTTCTTATTCTCTCCNAGGTCTCAACATTCTACGTTCATTTAAAAAAGAATGCGGAACAACTAGTTACACGGCTCGCGGGTGCGTGACTAAAGGGGACAGCATAAGAATACATAATCTTCATAATTCTTAGGTGAAAAAAGTTGAGTTCTTAGAAACAAACATGTCGAGAGTATCGAACATACACGGTCGTGGGTGCTATTAAATAAATACATGTACGAGGGGGCATTTTTAAGTTCGCGGAAAGGGGGATAAGAAGTGGAAATAAAAGTACGAATTTATTTCTCCTTTTCAATATTTTTATCTTCTACCCTTATACATTTGTCCGATCTTTCAATTAACTTACGTATACCTTCCATAAAAAAAGTTTTTTCTTTGTCTGAAAAATACACCGAAACTGCATCCTTCACTTCCTCGTCGCTTAAAAATTTCTTCCCACGATGACTTTTTTCAAAGTTTGGGAACAGGTAATAATCGCTGGGAGCTAGGTCAGGACTGTAGGGTGGGTGAGTCAAAATTTCGAAGCCCACCTTCTGCAGGGCAGCCATCGAAACACGCTTCTTGTGAACAGGCTCGTTGTCGTGCAGAAGGAGGAAACATTTGCTCAATTTTCCTCTTCTTTTTTTTTGGACTGCTTCCTTTAACCGCTACAGGATGGAAGCATAGTATTTTCCGGTTATGGAAACACCTTCAGACTTATAATCGATCAACAGGATCCTTCTGAGTCCCAAAAGACTGTCGCCATGAATTTTGCAGCCGACTGTGAAACCTTAAACTTCTTGGATGGTGGTGTGCCTTTTTTGTGCCACTGCATAGAGTGCTGTTTGGACTCAGGTTCATAATTATGAACCCATGTTTCGCCCCCAGTAACAATTCGAGTCAATACTGCATCTTTATCTTCACTACAGAGGTCCAAAGACGCGCGAGAACACTCCACACGCTGTTGTTTTTAAGGCGGAGTGGGCATTCTTGGCAGCCATCTTGCGCTAACTTTAGTCACACCAAGACGATCGTGAAGAATTTTAAAAATGGTTCTATCTGATACTCCTACCATTTCTTTTTCTTATGTCGGGTATCTACCAGTATTAATTTTTTGAATTTCTGAATGATTTTATCCGGGCAAGACTTCCCGTAAACGGATGACATCTCTTCCAGTATGGTTTGAACTGATTTTTCTTGCTTGGTAAGAAACTTTATAACAGCGCGGTCCTCGATTTTCTCCATATTTCACAATTTGTTCCCGATTGAATTGTTTCGTAGACAATAGTTCAAAAACTACTGACCTAATTACGATAAAACTTGGTATTTATTAGTTGCTTAATTCGTAATTACTGGAGTAAGTAATGATCTACCTACCCATTCCGCGAACATAAAAATCCACCCTCCCACTCAGTACACTCGTCTGCTACGCAACGCTAATGTGCTGTTTTTGGCCAAAAATTCACGCAAAAGCAAATATGTGAACAGAGGCTTTATCATGGTGCAAAAGCCAATTTTTCTTTTTCCACAAATCCGGGCGCTTCTGCCGGATTGCTTCGCGTAAGTTGCGCATAACTGGCGGGTAATATTCCTTATTGGCCGTTCTACCCTGTGGCAAGAACTCACCACACCCCTGCAATTCGCGAAGTCCAACAGCAATATTAATGCGATGCTGTTTTTGGTCGAAATTGAGCAATTTTGGTACAAATCTCGCGGCGACCCGTTTCATGTCCAAATCATTGGTAAAAATCGAATGGCAGAAGACAATTGATGTGTTTAGGTCCTCAGTAACTTCTCCAACGGTGATTCAACGATTGACCAATACTATTTTCTTCACTTCAATACTGTTTTCGTCTGTTGTTGACGTGCTCGGGCGTCCGGAACGCTCTTCGTCGTTCACATCTTTTCGGGCCTCTGATAACATTTTGTTCTACCGATAAACGTTGCCTCGGTCCAAGGTAGCTTCACCATATGCCACAATTAACATTCGGAATCCGTCCGCGCACTTAATTTAGTTTTTCACACAAAATTTGATACAAATTCTTTGATGCATTTTTTGAATGGGCAAAAATCGAAGACGAGTCAAAACACGTGCAAGTAAAACAGCTGTTAAAAATTAACTGAACGTTCAACATGGCCAAACTTGTCGGTATAAGTAACAGACGTGAGTACAAACATAACGCCACAAAAAAATCGAAAATCGAGTATACGTAACCCGCGGAAATTCGAAATTCGCGATACTTTTTGAACAGACTTCGTATGCTCTGCATATAAATCAAGCCGTATTTTTGTTATTTATTTTATACAAAATTTAGGACTGTTTTTTTTTTAAATACTGCTATCATATACAATCTAAAGAAGTTTCACTTCTTACGCGTGTACACTAATACACGCTCACCCCTTGTTTTTAAAAAGTATAACTTTTAATGTTTAGATTTAATAAATAAAAAGTTTATGAAATTTTGCAAACATTACAAATATAGAAAATACCACAAATGCCGCGGTAAACGCCATCTGTAGTACGATGCTACATTTTAGGATTACGTATGCTCCAACAAGGTCCATTTAAATATATGGATATCTACTTGC